CCCGAGACTCCAGGACTCCAGGCCCCGACTCCGCCAGTACCGGCCCCTCGACTCTCAGCCCCGACCCCTCCCGTTCCCGCTGGGCCGCCTCCGGTAGGTGTTCCTGTGGTGGCGATGGACAACACCTGCCATGTCACTGCCTCTCTGAGTCCTCTGAGAAAGGCTGGATAATACATATGTCTGTGTAAATTGGTCTTCCCAAATACACCTGTTAGCTTAAATGCTTTGGCTTGTGTTCAATTAATGGAATCATACCCAAGGCCTATAAAATGATGCTTGCTACATCAAAGCGGTGGAACCATGGACTCAAAAAGCCTGAATTTCTCTGCTGCTGAAACCCACGCCCTACTGGAGGGTGTTAGGTGCCATTATTACATTACAAGCGACTTACAATAAGAACATTTCAACCATAAGGACACAAACTCAAAAGAACAAGAAAGTGCAATTTCATCAAATAATCCAATTTACTATTGATAAGTCACATTATAAGTACATTGTAAGTGCTACAGTCAGTTAGTGTGTTAGTGGAGGTAGAGTCTGAAGAGGTGTGTCTTTAGTCTGAAGATGTGAAGGCTCTCTGTGGTCCTGATGTCTTCAGAGACCTCCTTCCACCATTTAGGAGCAGGACAGCAGAGAGTGGAGATCTAGTGGAGTGTTTTGCTCTCAGTGAGGAGGAACAAGCAGTTTATCACATGCAGAGCGGAGAGTGCGGGTCGGGGTGTCGGGTTGGACCAGGTCCTGGATGTAAGCTGGACCCCATCCATTCACAGCACGGTACGTGAGCACCATGTTTAGAACTGGATGAGCCACCGGTACCAGTGAAGAGAGCGGAGGAGTGAGGGAGAACTTAGGAAGGTTAAAGACCAGAGGAGCTGCTGCATTCTGGATGAGCTGCAGAGGTGGAATGGAGGTAGCAGAATTTACGTGTAGGGGGCGCTATCGAGCCAAATGCTATTTGGAAACATTGAAATCACATGAGGTAACTACATCTTTAACTGTTTGCTGTCCTGCTCCGAAATGGTGGAAGGACGTCTCTGATGACATCAGGACCACAGAGAGCCGTCACATCTTCAGACTAACAAATAGTAGCACTTACATTGTACTTATAACACCACTTATCTATAGCAGATTGTAAATTGGCTTATTTGAGGAAATGGCACTTTCTTGTTTCTTGCTCTTCTGAGTTTATATCCCTTATTGTAAGTCGCTTTGGATAAAAGCGTCAGCTAAATGACATGACATGTTGATATGTTGTTGACATGTTGGTATGAAAAGGTTTGGGCACCCCTGATCATTTTCAAGATTTTCCTTTATGTATCACTGGTTGTTCGGAACAGCAATTTCAATTAAATATATCATATAGCAGACAAACACAGGTGCATACATTTGGACACCCTTGTTGTTTTATTGATTTGAACACACCATTTGAATGGTAAGCTCATTGACCCTTGACCTACATACACAGGTGAAGCCAATCACGAGAAAGGGTGTTTAAGGTGGCCAGTTGCAAGTTGTTCTCCTCTTTGCATCTTCTCTGAAGACTGGCAACATGGGAGCCTCGAAACAACTGTCAAATGACCCGAAAACAAAGATTGTTCAACATCACGGTTTAGGGGGAAGGATGCAAGAAGCTAGCTCAGAGATCTCAGCTGTCAGTTTCCACTGTGAGGAACATAGTGAGGAAAGGGAAGACCACAGGCACAGTTCTAGTTAAGGCCAGGAAAAGTCTCAGATAAGCCGAGGCGAAGGATGGTGAGAACAGTCAAACTCAACCCACAGACCGGCTCCAAAGACCTACAACATGAACCTGCTGCAGATGGTGTCACTGTTCAACTATTCAGCGCACTTTGCACAAGGAGATGCTGGATGGGAGAGCAATGCGGCAGAAGCCTTTTGTGCGCCCATGCCACAAAGTCGCTTGAGGTATGCTGAAGCACATTTGGACAAGCCAGCTTCATTTTGGAATAAGGTGCTGTGGACTGATGAAACTAAAATTGAGTTGGACATAACAAGGGGCGGTATGCATGGCAGAAGAAGAACACAGCATTCTAAGAAAAGCACTTGCTACCCACAGTAGAATGTGGTGGTGGTTCCATCATGCCGTGGGGCTGTGCGGCCAGAGCAGGTACTGGCAATCTTGTTAAAGTTGAAGGTCGCATGGATTCCAGTCAGTATCAGCAGATTCTTGCGAAGAATGTTCAAGAATCAGTGACAAAGTTGAAGTTGCGCCGCGGCTGGATACTTCAACAAGACAGCGACCCTAAACACCGCTCAAATTCTACCAAAGCATTCATGCAGAGGAACAAGCACAACGTTCTGGAATGGCCATCTCAGTCCCCACACCTGAAGATCATTGAAAACCTGTCAGCAACGTAATCGGGAGTCATTACCGCAACGTGTATTACAATCTTACTGTATTTAGGTTTATCCTTAGCCCAGTGGCGGCTGGTGGAGGTTTTCTTTGGTAGGGACAGCCAATCAGTTTCAGTAAACATTCCAGTGTGATTCAAACACGCATTATTACTCTGCTGCTAATATTCCAACAGTTTAACATAATAAGGTCATCTTATTCAAATAATTCAGTATCATATACGTTTGATATATAATAAACAATATTTAGAACATTGCTACCATAATTATTATAAATATCCAATATAAGTATATAATACATAAATGATATTAAAGGATAAATATTAAAATATAAATATATTTATATAAAATCTATTAGAATATGTATATATTGAGATGAACCTAGTTTGTTGGCTAAACACCCAATCAGTGTGTTGAGGAAAGACCAACTGAATGGAACAAATGAACTATTTGGGATCAAATGTAACGCGGCCCATTGCCCTCAATGAACCAGCCGCCACTGCATTAGCCAGCAGTTTAAGTCAACGTAGCCCACTCTGGCCCCAGTACACAACTATGGTCCCTGGTTCCACTTCACGTTCCTCAGAATGGAGCTACCGATCACCAGAGGGGGCTTCTCAGCGGGTGTGTCGCTGAGTGGGGAGAAGCGGTTTGAAAGGTGAAGTGGTTGTTGGTGAACGACTTCCCTATTCCCATCCATGGCATGCATACTGCAGGTCGGTCGTTTTAAATTTCAATTCAAAAGTTGACATGCTCACTGTGGGTGTTCATGGTTCCACTCAGTCTAATGTTACTAAGATTGGACCGGGGAGGTGGGCAAGATGCAAATTGTATTCAGGATACTGTGTTACCTGAATGGATTCAATTAGGCTCTGGTTACCCGGTCGGTGCCCCTTGAAAACCTTTACTGCGAACAACTGTCCAGGTAGAGTTTCTGACCTCTGGTGGCCTCTGCTCCCTAAGTATTTATCGATAACTGAGCTGTCTACAGCTAATTGACTCACATTTGCCCGTAACACCTTTCGTTAACTGTCATGTACTGTTAACTTCTTGCGTCGTTGCAGCGACCTTGTGGAGGTCTGCACTGCAATGAGGCTCATTTCCATAGAAAGGGATCATTTAGCATCAAATAAAGCTTTGGAACAGACAGTCCTATGTAGGTTTAGCAGATGCAAGACGTGAGCAAAATGTTTGGGAATTTGTAACTAGTGTTGAGGTTAACACTGAATAAACAGATTTTGTTTTTGTAAAAGTTCACAGGATGACTTCATTATTTAGAGTAACTATATCTTTTAAGCGCCGTAGACCTTTATATCGCACACTTTGTTTCTGCTGGCTACCTTCAATGTTAACCTTGCTTTACAACTCATCCAATAACTAACCTAAGCCCCATACCCCCTAATTCCTGTTGCTACGTCTGTCAAGCCTTGTTCTTATTCTTCACACGAGGGGATAATCGGTACCCAAACCAAGGAACTTTGGGAATGACACTTGGTTACAGGCACGTGCACATTTTAGGATATTTTCCACGTCCTTCTGCTTTTGGAGTCTCTCTTTTCTTGGCATTCAATTCACATTCAATTCAATTCATTTTATTTTGTATAACCCAAAATCGCAAATTACAAATTTGCCTCCGAGTGCTTTACAGTCTGTACACATGCGACATCGACACAGGAAAAACATGAAAAAAATAAAAACCCTTCCATGGGGAAAAAAGGGAAGAAACGTTAGGGAGAACGTCAGAGGAGGATCCGTCTCCTGATGGACAGACTACAATGATGTCATGTGTAGAGACAGAACAATGTAGAAGATGAACAATACATTCAGTTCATACGACAGAAATGATGCAAATAATTGTGAGTAGTAAGCAGGTGTACGGCAGGACCACCATCACATAGAACCACCGTCACATAGAACCACCATCACATAGAACCACCGTCAGATAGAACCACCATCAGATAGAACCACCGTCACATAGAACCACCATCAGATAGAACCACCGTCACATAGAACCACCATCAGATAGAACCACCGTCACATAGAACCACCATCACATAGAACCACCATCACATAGAACCACCATCAGATAGAACCACCATCACATGGAACCACCATCACATAGAACCACCGTCACATAGAACCACCATCACATAGAACCACCATCAGATAGAACCACCATCAGATAGAACCACCGTCACATAGAACCACCGTCACATAGAACCACCATCACATAGAACCACTGTCACATAGAACCACCATCAGATAGAACCACCATCAGATAGAACCACCATCAGATAGAACCACCGTCAGATAGAACCACCGTCACATAGAACCACCATCACATAGAACCACCATCAGATAGAACCACCGTCACATAGAACCACCATCAGATAGAACCACCGTCACATAGAACCACCATCACATAGAACCACCATCACATAGAACCACCATCAGATAGAACCACCGTCCACAGAAGACCTACCTTTCATTTCAACAATTGTAACAAAACTAGTGAAGTGGTGACCGTGTGTAATTTATAGACCAGTAAAACGGTCTTTACATTCTCTGCGTGTATCTCTCCCTCTCTCTTCATTAAACATGCCAAAGGTCAGTAAACAGCTGGACGAGGCTTTGAAATCACAGGTTTTTATTTTTTAGGAAATGTCGGGCCAGTTGCAACGTAACGTTTTCAGCGGCGCTAATGTGGTTAATTTATCACCAAGCAACGTCGGGGGGAGGAGGGAGGGGCGGCGGAGCATGTCGGGGTGAAATTCTCACAAGAACTCAAATAAATGCCCCGTCGGATATCCAAACACATTTGGGGGGAATTGATGACAGAGAGAGTAATTGTTATTCTTAAATATTGATGAATGACAATAACATCTTTGGCGTTTGTGAGTTAAGACACCACATGGAAACACGCTCCAGAGTCGGCATCACTTTATTTTTAGACCTCGGACTCCGTCAGGTCCGCGCGCCCACCGGCTGGCCCACCAGGGTGGAGGCACACGGGGTGGTTTGCAGTCCCATCAGTCTGAGCTGAGCTGAGATCACTTTAGTTTGGTACAGTGTGGTGATTTGGGCGAACAGTAAGCCCATCTCTTCGTCCCTTTAAATCTTCTATTTGAGGAGCCACTGATTTACTGAGGAAAACAGAGAAGGAAATTACATGAATAGTGGTGAAAGGATAAAATAAAACGGGAAAGGTGTGCTGTTGTAAAAAAGACAAAGCCAGAGACTGTTCATGTCAATGAGTAGCGATAACAACTCTTTCCTAAATCCAAACTATGGACTAACTGACTCTAAGCAGGTCATGAGTATGTGATACACGCGCAGTAGTGACAATACAACGTTGGCCAAACAGTCAGTGACCAAATACATTTTAATGTTTGCCACAATGTTCCCATCAAGATCACATTTATTTCAAGTGGCTTTACAGTCCCGCACACACATCATCATCTACGTATATCCCTCATTTGGAGGAAACACTTTAGAGTAGAAAGAGCAACTGGGGATGGATTGCTCATCCAGGACGGACACTCTCCGAGTTTGACTGAGTCGGAATGATTCCTCATTGCAAACATTGGCTGTATATATTACTTCACTGTCTGGTCATCTGCTGTCCTCATCACCATGGAGAACGCAGCAATGCCTCCAGTTGTACGGACTGAGTAAAAGTGCAGTTCAGGGCTAAGTGATTTCAATGTCCACAACAAAGATGGCATCAATTAGCTTTAGGCAAAATACATAAAGAACTGAGTGCTACACACACACACACACACACACACACACACAATGATACTTTCATGGCCAATAAAAAGATGTGCAGCATCACCAAGTGAGAATTACAGTCAGTGTGGTTTAAATACGGTGATTGGACACGGCAGACAGTCACCGTGGATAACACAACAGGGCGGGAAGTGAAGCTAAGCCAGGACACGAGAGGCAGCAAAACTACAAAATAAAACAGGTACAAACACAGCAACGGAAATAAGTTCTGCAATCCACATTGTACCGTTGATTTTAGGGTAATGTTTCTGATATTTTGATAACACATTTGTATTAATCAAACAGCTCATATCCCACTATTCCTTGTTTACTGTGGTCGGAAAGATGAATACAGACTGTTTGGGGATTTCAATTCGAAATGAGCAGATTTCACTACCATTTGTAAATGAACATTAACTTGCTGCTGTGTACAGTAAAATGAATGTAAAACCCAACTGTTCTACCTGCACACACTGGAATCCAATACATTACAATAAATGTAAGAAGCTGCACTGTTAAATAGTAGTAAATTACTGGGGTCTCTGCCATTATTTTTTACGGTCAAACTGCTTTGAGTATACAAATGGTGTTATTAAGTTTAATACATTAGAAGGTATTTTTTTTATTCAATGTTTTGAAATATAGTTATTGAACATTATTAAAGATATCCAATTCCGATTTTTATTATCTAATAAAAAACCTGCACTGAAGCTACAAAACAGAAGTGGGATAAAATAGTAATTACTGGGGGACTGGGAAAATATGTACTGTGTAACCTGGTTAATACATAATAATACATAAATGATTGGTTAAAATGTGCCTTTTGATTGAAGCAAATGTGTATTGATTCAACCAATATTTCGATATTCTGTTGGGCCTGCTCGTTCATTTCAATGGGATAATCTGCCTTTGATCACTGACGCTCCACTAATACACACTAAAGCATTAAATACTTCTTTCCTGTCAAAACGATATCGCCACAACCTCCCCTCCTTCCCGTTACCTCTGTACTGCGGGCGGAGGACGCGGTTGTTGGGACAGTCTCGGCCCGGCTTGTTGAAGTTGATGTTGGTGCGGATGCAGCGCTGCAGCAGCGGCTGGGGAGGCCGGGTGTTGTCGCTCATACTGAGGAAGATCTTGTAGGGCTCGTTCTGGCTGAGGAGCCGCAGGGAGTGCATCTGCAGATGGAGCATGGTGGAGTACAAAGTGGATTTAAACAACTGAGAACAGGCTCCGGCTTCCTCATAACAAGAAATAGACAAAAACATTCAAAAAACACCATTCGGTTCAGGATGAGCTTCCTGAGCTGAGGTTCCATGAGCTTCAGCCAGTGTGCTGATCAATCCACCGGCTCTCATAGAAGCAGACAAACGAGATGTGTGGAGATGTTGCCGTGACAATTCAGATGATATTTTTTACATCGCCATCAAAATCATCAATACATTTTTTTGCTGATGGTTTTATGCCATGACCTCCAAGTGCTGCTCAAGGTACCTGCATCCGTGTCACGTAGACAGGCTTGTTGATGAGTATCCACGTGGACGTCTCATAGCAGGGCGGGACGGTGATCGAGCCCTCGTAGGTGATGTAACGCGTGGTATCAGGGTAAAGGTCGGCTATGTTCAGGCCCATTAATAGAAACGCATCATCTAGATAGAGAGGGTAGAGAAAAGTCTGTATGTGACCCATATTGCTACTTGTAGAGTAGAATTGTTGATAACTTTGTATAAATAGAGCTGTGGAAGCTTTCCCACTTGGACTCCATATCCCCCATTAGGATTTAGTTTGTCTTTGATTTATTCACGACAAAGTTGCTTTAAATACTTCATTCCTCAAACCTGTTTTTTGGAAAAATAGTTCTCACCCTCATCTTGATGTGATTCACTTTCAACTATTTCTTAAGGATGCACGTTTTTTTAAATGTATCTTTTAAACAGGACCAAGGAGTGTCACTTCAGACAGAGCGTCACAGCTCTGTGGAGCCGTGTATTCCTTTGGACCTCACTAGTAACGACTTCATGAACTTCTTCAATGAGAAGATTCTGACTATCAAAGAGAAAATTGATGGTCTCCTGCCTTCAACCAGTGCCGACCTGTCCTCCGATGTAGGAACCTTGGATGCAGCAGTGGGCCCTGATGCCTGTTTGGATGCCTTCTCTTCCATCAACCTTGATCAACTGACTTCTTTATTTTCAAAGTCTAAATCTTCTACTTGTCTCTTGGATCCGATTCCGACCAAGCTGCCGCATTTGACACTTGTATCCTGTTGCAGAGACTAGATTGGTATTAAAAAGGAACTGCACTCCTATCCTGTCTATCGCCTCCCTAAGGTTCCCCCCCGGAATGTTGTTCATTGTTTGGGGAGTTGCTGATGACTGTAAAGCCTGGTTTATGCTTCTGCGTTTTCAGAGAGACGCAAGACCCCCCTGCGTGTCCCCTGCGTGTCCCCTGCGTGTCTCTTGCGTGTCTTTTCACACCTCCTTGCGTGCGTCGACCCATTTTTCTAGACTAGCGTCTAAAGCGACGCAGCCTCCTGCAGCACCAGGCTGTGATTGGTCTCTAACTCCGTCCTTTAGAGTCTCACGTCTCCGTTTTCACAGCACAATACGGCCGTTATTAAAAGGAAGAACGTTGACGAGAGAACGGATCAGATTGAAGAGCTTTTAAATATGAGCGCTTGTACAAGCCGTCATTGGCGGACTATGAGGACGCCGGATGTCCTCTGATTCATGGAGGGAGATCTCCACCAACGAGGGGAACAAAGTCGTGGAGGAAAATACGGGACAAATGTGTCCGTGATGAAAAGCAGCAGTGTGGATGCACGGGGCAATAAAGTCTATGATCAATGAATAAAGCCACCAGCGACTTCCACACACACAGACGTGACTCTCTAGGTCGTCTTCAACAAAACACGTGACTCCACCTGTTGTTCTGGAGGTGAATCGCTCTGCAACACACGCAGGACTTTACAACCAGGAAGTGAAACCAGCGCGTCGACACGTAAAGACGCAGAAACACGCGCAGACTTTTTGGGCTGTACAAAATAAAATGAATTGAATTGAACTTCTGAGTCATTGATGCAATTTTCTGTTTGTTTTAAGTTAGCTGCTTGTCTCTTTTATGGCAATTGACATTTATTACGTAAATGATGTACCTGTGTTTTATGTTGCGATCTCATTTATATATAAAGTGCACTTTATATATAGAGGTGGGACAGTGTATGTGAAGATAATCACATACACTAGTTTAAAAAGGCTTTTAGCATAAAAAGTAACATACATAGATTTAGTCCTGTAAATTCCCCAAATCAAAGCATAAGCCTGCCTGGGAAAGAGCCCAGTAGGAGACCATGTCTGTGACTCACGTTTGTAGTTGATCCGGGTGATGCTGTCTCTATGCAGCATGCGGTTGAGGAAGGCGTTGGAGTTTTCAGAGAGCTGAGAGATGACGGAGAGGAAGGTTAAAAAGCATGTAGCGCTGTAACCCTGTTATTAGTAGAACTAGTGTGATGTCACGAGAGGCTGGGTCACCGCCGATGGCTGTAACTACTATGGCTCCACCCGGAGTTAGGAACCCCACCCCGAAACTCAGAGCATCCCCCTCACACCCGAAACCCATCAGGGTCTGACGACCGGGAGGCCTTCATAAGGGCGGGAGACACACCACTGAGGGGAGAGAGAGACGAGCTGCAGGTTGGACCCGCTGCAGAAGACCAGACCGATGTAGGAGGATTCCCAGAGGCAGGAGAGACTGAAGACGGTGTATTCTCTGGAGGGAGGTGGATTTCCGATTACCCTCCGAAGACGAGGCATTATTTAAGTTTTACCAGCGAAGATCGACCGAAGCCTGAGTTACCCGTGTTGACTACTGTCTTCTCTTCAATCCGAAGGATGTGAATTAAACCTTTTCAACCTGGTGTCCTCGCACTACTTGAACTACCCCGGTGAGAGCGACACTAGTCTGGACCCGTTCACAATTCCCGATGCCTTTAGTGCTGCTGCTTGTAAGGTTCCTCCAAACCGCTCAAACTCAACACTGCACTTTCTGGGGTCCTGCGCAATAATACACCTGTCACGACTTGTGCCATTTGTTTTGTCACTCACTCAAGTTGTTGCTCCTCAGTCAGAAGCACCAGCGAGGAAACCAGATTTAGATTTGTGGTGTTGTGGGCAAACATCTTTAACTTGGTTACTAGTTAACGTAGTGGGACTGAAATTTAGACTGGCAGACATCTGGCAGTGTTCTCTTTTTTTATCAATAGAGAATTTGACGATGCAGAAGACCTTGAAGAAAGGTGGTTTGCTGAGATCTGCCTCCTCTATTTGTAACAATATGTCAATATTGCACTGAATCAAAATAATCGGGTGAGCTTCAACAATGTGGGCCGACTGCGGCTCAGTACAAAAGTGTCTCTGTTCAATCAGAGGATTAATTCCCTCTGTTGTGTATGAATGGGTGTGATAGCCCTGAGGGGCTGGTGGCACCTTGCATTTAGTCAACGGGTGAATCTAGAGTCCCTCTTGGTAGCGTCTCGTTGTAGTGATTTTGTGGAGGTTTGTTCTTTCAGCCGTCTCTATAAGTCTCTATTCAAGTCCCTTTGGGCCCTGGGTGTCTGCACAGTCGGCCCCCTACTGTAATTCATGGTTAATTGCCGTCACAAACATGCAGAAAAAGGTGAGAGCGGACATAGTTTGACTTGCAATGGCAGAGCGTTATCTGCTGGAAGCTGTTGAATCCAAAGAAGTGAGGGCGAATTCCGTTTTAAAGTTATCCAGCATTCCTGATGTGTAAGTAGGCAGCAGGCGAAGCTGCTGTCTGACAATGGTGGAATGCAGAGCCTTCAGAGGAGCGCTGTGTACTTCATCATTCAAAGTTTATTCACTTCAAAACAGTCTTTGCTACACGTATGTGATAATTCAAAATTCAGAGGTTATGTTTTGAATCTAATATGTGAATTAATCAAACTATGATGAGCTCACTTGGTTTTTCAATTGGTCATTCTTTATTTTTCAGGCCATAAAGACACGCTGACCTTCATGAAGATGGAGACCACAGCAATGCCGTGGGGGCTCTTAGCTGCCTCCGTGTAGTTGCCATATAGATCCTGGTTATAATGAATCAGCTGGACCTGAAAGCAAGACACAAGGACACAGAGCACAACACTTTAAATTGAGTCATTTCAATGAATCAATGTTATGTTTTAGGAATGAACCAAAGTGCTTTTGGAATTTAAGGACCCTACGTTCATTCCCAAGAGCTTATGATATTGTTTAGTATATAGTATGATGGGATGGCCTCATCAACTTCTAGCTGCAGTAATCCTGGAGCTTTTGCTTATCTGTTGCAAAGGACAGAGGATGTCATCTGCTCTGGAGATTATAAACCTCCCTGATTTTGGCAATTTGATTCATGCTATTGGGTTGCATGAAAAGTCTGCTTGATAACAAGAGCACCAGTCAGAACTTTATGGCTTCCTTTTAACGTAACGGTGTGTCTCTTTGGACAAAGTGGATTTAAACAAATGAGAACAAACAGGCTCAGGCTTCCTCATGACAAGAAATAGACAAAAAAACATGTATTTATACATTATCCCTCTCAACGAGAGAAAACTGTTTCAGTATTTAGTCTGTAAGCAGAAAACTGTTCAATGAAAAAGAATAATAATAAAAAATGTAATTTTTACTTTGAGACATGTTAATCTGAAAAAACAAAGATATACTGTATGTAGTTGTTAAGCTTGCAATGTCTGCCTGCTATGTGCATTTATCTTATCAGGCTATTAGCATTCAGTGCTCCTGTCTATATAGATGTGTGATTTCTATTGATAATCGAGTCTTATTTCTTGCCTCTCCAGTGAAGCCCTGTCCATTGAGGAGGTGCTCTGAACCCTGGGAATCTTCGCTCCCAAAATGGAGGCGGACCTCCTCCAGCCGATAGCTATAACCCAGTGGGCCCCCTGAGATGTTCACCAGGTGGGCTTTGTCAGGGCGCAGGGACACATGCTTCCCTGTATTGTACATGGTACAGCCCATCTACAGAGAAACAGAAAGGGACAAAAGTTTTACTTTTGAGACAATTTCATCGTGGTGCATATAATGCGTCCTGGCACTGTCCTGTCGGCCGACTCTGCGAGCATGACGTGAATTGGAAAAGTTGAGTTTGAGCCAGGCAATGTTGGTCACAAGTCATTAAGGGCTTATGTCCTTCCTAACATGGTGCGTTGCAAAAGGTGGGGGTACAGGGAGTTTGTCACTCGGGTGGGAAAGGGTTGTCCGGAGGGGGCAGACAGGTGTATTTATGTTTGTCTGTGGGTGTAAGGGGTCAGGACTGAGACTCAGAGGAATGAAACAACAAAAATACTTCTTTCCAGGTTTGGGAACTTTACAAAACAAATCAAAAAGAGACTGGCCACGCTGCAGAGGGAGAAAGAAAAGGGACTGGCAACGGAAAAAAACACAAGTCCCAGTGCTTTATGATTTTATTTTATTACATATAAACAAACATTATATTACAACAACAATGTTGGCCCTCTCGTATAAACCTACACAATAAAAAAGTATTCTAAACTTTATTTAAAACTTTTAGAAAAGTAATAAAGCAAATAAAGCCATCGCATGGGACTATTAAATGAATGGACCTCGTTCCCGCACTTTTTCTTTCAACGTCCACCCTTTTTAGTATTTGGTGTTAATTTGCAGGGCTGTCAAAATCAACACAAGATTAATGCGATTAATGTGGCCGAGATTAATGCGAGTAGCATCTGATACTGCCTCTGCCATTGATGTGGGCAGGCATATTTTTTTGGTTCCGGTGTTTTGAGAATGAAGTGGCATCTTATTTTGGTGCTTTTAAGTGCACTGCTGCTGCTTTGCGTTGACCAGAAAATGTGTGGGCCATCTTACTACAATGTGTGTTGTGTGTACTACAAAGTGTTGGAAAAACTGCAATAATGTTCTACCTTAGTACCACAGAAAGTATTTTCTTTTGCACAGAATTACATTGTGTCCCGGGTCATCTGATAATCAAGATTTTTGTGCGTCAATGTTTATAATCTTGTGGTGCCAAAGATGCTCGTCGACATCCAAGGTCGACTACCAGCACCTGGGTTTTGCCCAGAGCCCCACCCTGTGGTATCTATAGGATGTTTGTCTTTCAACTATATATTCCTGCTCCGAAGATGAACACATTTGCGTAGGCTTGGCACATGACTTGTATGTGTGTCGACTTTGTCTCCTGTTTGCAAAACATCAAATATCCTGTTTTGATGATTTTACACCGTGTCGAATTTTAACAGTAAGGCTGAGGAAGCATGCTCTTCACTGTCGGCGGAAGACGAATGAATCAGACCTCTGTGGCTCTCTCTGATGGCCACCGGAGGGCCCCCTCACCTGAATACTGACTTCCCGGACTCCATTTCCCATGTAGCCCGTACACAGACTAATCACCGGCACAGGTGTTTTCCATTACCTGCTCTGCTTAAACAGCACTCACACTCATTGTGAAGTCTTGTTTTGCCCCGGCTGACATTTCTAATCATTTATTCTGATATTCTGTGACCCTTCTGTGTATGATTTTGGATTGTTGGACTACGTTTAATTCTCTGCCGCCTGCCCTTATGATCTCGCTCTCGGGAGCTTCGACTGCTTTGATGCCTGCCCTGACTCTTGCCCAATAAATCTGCGAATGGATCCACATGCTTCCGACTCCTCATTACACGGACAACGGTCTGGCAGTGCTCAGCTTCGGTGCTCCAAAGGACCTGGTGTGGGAGGCGGTTTTTCGTCATCTCGTGTAAAGGGGCTGCAATGGTGTCAAAGTTAGGTATAAAGTACTGATAATAGCCAACCAGGCCCAGGAACGTTTTTACTTGTCGCTTAATGGCTGGCTTAGACCAGGTGGCTTCTACTTTCCGGGATTGGGGTCTTACACTGCCTCTCCCAATGGTGTGGCAAAGGTATTCTGCCTCTTCTAGCCAAGGTGGCCCTTTTTGGGTTTGGCAGTCAGGCCCGCTCCCACCCCTAGACAGCTTTCATGTGGCCTACATGGGCGGTCAAGTCAGGACTGTGTATGACCACGTCATCTAGGTAGGCTGCTGCATACCCCCGATGAGGTCGGACCAGCTGGTCCATCATTTTTTGGAAGGTAGTTGGCGCTCAGTGGAATCCGAAGGGTAGGACTCTATAGTGATACAGGCCTTCCGGGGTAGCAAATGCAGTCTTCTCCTTGGCAGCTTCTGTGAGGGGAACCTGCCAGTAACCTTTGGTGAGGTCGAAAGTGGACACCAACCGGGCTGGGCCTAATCCCTCGATTACCTCATTAACTCTTGGCATGGGGTAAGCATCAATTTTTGAGATTTCATTCAATTTTCTAAAATCATTGCAGAATCACTCCCTGCCGGGCCATCGGGTTTTGGAATCAAACCAATCGGGCTGGACTCTTCAATAATACTGATTTCCAACATCCTTCTCACCTCTTCTTTAATGGTCTCCCTTTTTGCCTCTGAGGTGTGGTAGGGTCGGTGCCTCACCCTTTTCCCAGGTTTGGTGATTATGTCATGTTGGTCCGTCCCGGCAGGTCTGAAAACACATCTTTAAACTGCCCGGTCAGTTCCACAATGTCTTGCCGGTGGGTCGGACTCAGATGGGGGCCCAGAGGTACCTGTGAAGGGACAGATTGATGTGATACGTTACCTCACCCACCCTCTCGATCACCTCATAGGGTCTATGCCACTTGGCCAGGAACTTGCATTCAACAGTCGGAATCAGGACCAAGACTAACTCCCCAGGCTGAAACTCCCGTAGTTGAGCTCTACAGGTATAGATTCTGGCTTGGGCGTGTTGGGCTTGCTGGATATGTTCCTGCACCAGGGGCCATGTCTTACCCATCCTCTCTTGCATAATCTAACGGAGCTGTGGGCTGATGGCTGCTGCTCCCATGCTTCTTTGGCCAGGTCCAGCATGCCCCGGTTATACAGCAGCTCAAACGGCAAGAACCCTGTGGACGCCTGGGGAACTTCTCGGATTGAGAAAGACAAAGGGGAATAGTTGGTCCCAGTTTTCCCCATCCACATCAATAGCCCTTCTCAGCATTTGTTTTAAGGTTTTGTTAAAACGTTCTACCAGGCACCATAATCCTGGACCCCCTTCTTCACCCCTGGCCAGTAGAAGCGCACCAGGATTCAGTTGTAGGTCTTCTCTATCCCTAGATGAGCTCCCAACATGTGTGAGTGGGCCGGGTACAACATTTTTGGAATATAGCGTTTGGGGACTAGCAACTGTTCCACCACAAGTACCGCCAGCTTTGCCACCCTATATAAGAGGCCATTCTTAAATAGCAAAATGTGGAAAAGTGTCCACACTCACCCCTTCCACCGGTTCCCCCTCGACCACAGCCAGGTTCAGTCGGGCTTGTTCGAGGTTAGGGTCCTCCACTCTACTTTATATAGTTATATTTTCTAGTCGAGTAGATTCCATGTAAAGTCAATGCACAGACGCGTCTGGTCGCGAATGAGGCAAATTTTAAAGGGCGGCACGAATGATGCGAAAAAGAAAAACTATCGCTTTTTTGCTCAAATTTGAAATATTCCCAGACGCTGTCTCGCGAAAGCCAATCAGTGTTGAGATGCTCCGCTTGTCGTCCTGCTGCCACAGCGTGAATACAACGGCCGCTCACCGGAGACACACACAGCTGAGACTGAACGCCTGTAAGTTAGTTTGTGTGTAACCGAGAGACGCCGGCACCGAGCATCTTCAAGAGGTCATCAGACCGGCTGCTGGGCCGCCTGAAGCAGCGCTGGAAGCCGCAGTCATCCAGACGCACTTCCTGGAGGAGTCGGTGACATTCAAGCTGAACACAATACCGTTTGCGGGTCCGGCGTTTGTGTAATTCACACAACAAATAAAGAGCAGAAATTGTGGTTATTTACTGTATTTTCATGGTGGAAACGCTAACTGTCTTTACGGAGACACGTAACAGAGATAATCCACGCCCCTTCCAGGCGCAAATATACCAAAATAAATTCGCCTCGCTTTTGGTGTGAACGTACAATAACACGAGTAGCCTTAGCCTAGCTTAGCTCGAGTAACCAGACGTCCTCTTTTACCCGGACGCATTTTTTAGGTCTCGAAAAGAGGAAATGTCTGGGAAAAAGAGGACGTCTCCTTTGTCTTGTGTTGCACTTCTTTGTAATGTTATTGTGCTCGCTACAGAACTGCCAACTTTTCACAAAACCTTGGAGTGAGGTTTTGTCGGGGCACGTTGGCTACGTGCTACAAATAGGGTTACAGATGCGCCAGCGCAGATTCACTGGAGAAAACTGGATGTGTGGATGCGTCTCTCAGACCATGAGAAACAAAATTCTCTGGTCTGATGAAACAAAGATTGAACTCTTTGGCCTGAAGGCCAAGCGTCGTGTCTGGAGGAAACCAGGCACTGCTCATCACCTGGCCAGTACCATCCCTACAGTGAAGCATGGTGGTGGCAGCATCAAGCTGTGGGGATGTTTTTCAGCGGGAGGAACTGGGAGACTCGTCAGGATTGAGGGAAAGATGAATGCAGCAATGTACAGAGACCTCCTCGATGAAAACCTGCTCCAAAGAGCACTGGACCTCAGACTGGGGCGACAGTTCATCTTCCAACAGGACAACGTCCTGAAGCACACAGCCAAGATAACAAAGAAGTGGCTTCGGCACAACTCTGTGAATGTCCTTGAGTGGCCCAGCCAGAGCCCTGACTTGAACCCGATTGAACATCTCTGGAGAGATCTGAAAATGGTTGTGCACCGACACTCCCCATCCAACCTGATCGAACTTGAGAGGTTCTGCAAAGAAGAATGCGAGAAACTGCCCAGAAATAGGTGTGCCACGCTTGTGGAATCACACCCAAGAAGACTTGAGGCTGTAATTGCTGCCAAAGGTGCTTCAACAAAGTATTGAACAAAGGCTGTGAATACTTATTGGCGCGGTGAGATCTGGTTGGGGTTTTCTCGTCTCCGTGCCTTGTCTTGTCATTTCCTGTCTTATTTTGAAAGATTAACCCCTCTCTCATTTCAGGTCACTTGTCCCTCATGTGTCACCAGTCGAATCGTCCCCCCTGATCCCTGATTGTGTCCACCTGTTTCCCATTAGCCTCATGTGTCTTATAGTCTGCGTCTCCCTGGTGCCGATTACTGAGTGTACCGACCGTTCTCCAGCCTGAGGCCGCCACCTTAGCCTCGGTGTTCCTCTGCCTGCCCGGTTTGGTCTTGCTTTTCCCCGTTCCCGTTCTAGAAGAATTTCAGTTTCTGTTTATGGACTCAGTTCCTCCAACCTGTTTATACCTTTTGCGTTTTCCTCCTAATGGAGTGATTTTCAGTTTTTTTTGTAGTTTTATGTTTTCTTCCTCATGGAGTGATTTTCAGTTTTGAGTTTGATATTTTGAGCCAAATAAAAACGGCCCTTTTCTGTTCATTCTGCTCATGAGTCCTCTCTTTAAACGTGGGCCTGACATCATTTCAAATTAACCCAATTCATTTTATTTCCAGTGTAACATACGCTAAAGAAAAATAATAATTAAAAGTATTATGTTATCTGGAACAAACCAGATTCTTCAAATATGTCTCAATAAGTTGTTTGCTGCTGCCTTTAATTAAACCAGATTCAAGGATGCTTTTTACTGTTTATTACATTAACTGCACTGAACCTTTTATTCTATTCTTAACTGTTTTTAAATGTCCTTTTCTTTTCCCTAATGGTTTGATGGTTTTATGTGAAGGACTTTGAATTGCCCTGTTGTTGAAATGTGCTATACAAATAAACTTACCTTGTCTCACTACTCATTATTATACATCTTTTAGGTTGTTTATTCTGTACACATGACTATCTATTGTGGTCTTCAGGTGTTAAGCACTATTTGTTGGGTTTTCTGAAAAAGAGCCCAACAGTTATTTTTAAATACTAGAAAAAACAGAGAAAACGGTTTCACTAAGCATCAAGCAGTTCTATGAAAATCCTACATTGCTTTCTTAGAAATAGAGCTGTCCTCAATACCACAAGAATACCACAATACACAGCTCACCAAACAGGACAGCAATTGGGCATGATGAAGTATACAACATGGATTGTGTATTTGATGCATGGCTGGATGAAGACCCATGTAACCCGACTGTGAACCATTCTGCCTGAATCCATTTCGGACAGAAAAGCCCCAGGGAAAGCAATGCTGCTCAATGTCTTTAAAGCCTGGTAATGTCTTAATCCCTGATCCCACCAGTCAGTTGAGCACATGACATCACATCCAATTTAAAAAAAAGGTTCATATAAGTCTACAAAATCAAACGAGAAGAATATCAACCTTGCTAGTACACACTTAAAAAAGATGTCTGAGGACTAATAATGCATTTGAGATGTGCATTGAAAATAGATGTGATAAACTTCTCTAGACGGGATTAACACATTTTGTGAAGTGTTCATCCCAAAGCACAATACAACAGTGGCCGTTGAACATGCACACTCTAATGCAGCACCTTTAGTCCCCATATTTACAGAGACTCTGTGCAAATGTATTTCAAGCTCTGGCACAGTGGTTGAGTAACCCAGATACTTCATTAGCCCATCGACATACATTCCTCAGTGGTTTGGATTAGCAGAGCTTGTGCTGCCACTCATCTGATCTCAAACTCCGTATGAACCACAGCGGCCGTTATTAGTGGTTGACACTTCTCTCGCGACGGAGTAAATGAAGCTTACTCTGTGGAATTTATTTGCCCTCATCCCAATGAGCAGGTGTCAGTGTGAAAAGGCCTGTACCTAAGTAGTTAATTCTACTAGTTTGAACTGTTTCCCTTATTTAAGATGACAGGGGCTTGAAAGGGTGAGATCACATGTACCAGCTATTTTTTATGACTTTTGATAAGAGGCTTGCTAAAATTGCAGGTTGTGGCCACTCTTTACCCTGCTGCAGGCAATCTAATGCTGAGGCGTGTGTAATGGTAAAGGAGTTGGGCCTGCAGGCACTGAGGTTTGTAGATCCTGCAGAGATAATCTCCCACACATTCTACGGCATTTCACACCATTATTAAATGGATTTTTTACCGAAGCGACCTAATGTTTTGTAATGTCTTCTGATTGAATTATGCGGCTCCAAAGACAAAACCACAACAGCAAAATAACATGCGATGGTCCCCCTCTTGTGAAACGGCTCACACAGGGCAGAATACAGTGCTGGGCAACTTCCAAAGTTACCTCAGCTTTCTCCATCTATTCCAGGGCTGCCCAAGAGGTCGATGGCAGTGCTGGTAGAAAAGTCATGTAACATCATGCATGCGCGCTTGACCATTACAACTTAAAACTAATCCTAATTAGCAATCCTTGCTTGCTAACAGACATACAGTATTTCATTTAGTCCAATAGCAGCCGAACTGCTCGGTTGAAAAGTAGCTTGCAAACCGAAAAAGTGTGTTCACCCGTGATGTGTTCTTTTTGGTTCCATGTCTTGGACATGACAGGCTCCTGGAAAGGGCGGGACGTGTGTCTGTTGAATTGGAGCTGAATTTCACAGGTAAAGGGCCCCACCTGTGCTACTATTAATAGGGTTATAATATTGCAACCTTCAGTTGCATGAGGCCCAATTGATCACAATTTGGAAAAACTTATAAATATGTTTTATCAAAGCACCATATTTGTCCATGTCAACAATTTGTTATAATAATGATTAAGCATTCATATTGTCTTCTAAATCCAAGGATGATATATTAATATGGTAAAATCTTCTTTTTGAAGTCTTAACTAATCATCAAATAATCAACTCTAACTTACAACTGAAAAGTATGTTTTTGTGAACTGTGACCATGAGGATAAAATGTAGAGTAATGGTGCATCCACACCAAACACAAGGCAAAATTCGCCTGAAATTGTGTTGACTTTGCAGCAAACTCAACGCGATCTCAGACAAAGGTGCGTCAAACACCCAAACACACCAAATGCGTAGGTTGAAATTTATTTTTTTTAAGCGGCAAAATGGCTGCAGTGTTGAGATGCCCTCCTTGACGTCACTGACGTCCTGCAGACAATTTCTGAATCAGAAAACATGGAGGATAAATGAATAATAATGTTAGCTGAGTGTGGGTACCCCAAGCTATTTGATACGTCCTTTTACCTTTACCACGACCGGCCCAGAAAAGACCTCGCACTTTTAAACAACAGCATACAACCATATGTGCCTTTTTTATAACACCCATCACACCCGGATGCAGCACATTACAGTGTGTATTGTTTAACCACACAATAACAACGTGTGGGTGGCTCTTAAAGCGCCGTCTGGATGTGATGGAGCACACGGTGTCTCACCACGGGGCCGTTCCCTCGGCACAGAAGTACAGTTGGAGCCAACAGCCTCTCAAACAGTGTAACGGGGAATCAGTCATCCAGACGAGCTGTCGCAGCCTATGGATACTATTGAGTAACAAAACACGGCGGCGTTTGGTGGTCCAACGTGAGTAGGACCTTCCTTGGTTGATACAGAGGGAAAAAAATGGCTGTTTTTAGGATGATAAGCCACGCTCCTCGCGAAGGATGCAATTCATGCAAATTGCCTGGAAATGAACCCCTGAGAGTACGCGTTTAGAGCGTGCATTCGGTGTGAACGCATCATTAGCATGAACAAAGGACATGGCAACGTCCCTTTAATTCTCAGTATAATAAAGTTTGATTCACCCAAGATTGCATCTGATATGAATGTAGAGATTATTATTGTCTGTTTTCTATTATGTTATTTGTAAACTTTGAACCTCAACATAAAGAAAACATTTAAAGAACCGTAGAATTTAAAGCTCACATAACGTTGCTAAAACTATTTTTTTACGGTTTATAGGGGACATTGGTACCCTGTTTCCACTTCTTTCAGCTCAACATACACAGCCCACTTGATCTTAATATGGCAATTATGTCACGGTCACGGTGTGGTGCACTTCCTGTCTTATTTTGTAGTTTTCTGCCACTCGTGTCCCCGGGTAACTTCACTTCCTGCCTGGTCCTGTCATCCCCTGTGATTGTTGGATTGTTTCCACCTGTTGTTATCACCTACACCTCCCTTGTGTGTGTTGTTTGTCACTTTGGCGTCATTGTCCTTTGTCACGGATGTCCCTGTCTATCGTCTGGATGTTCCTCGTTCCTGCCTGCCTCTTTAGCCCCGGTTCGTGTGTGTTTTGCCCGTTGGCCCTTTACTTTGTGGAGTTTTGGACTATTAAAGTCTTTTTCGCTAAAGTCTGCGTTTGAGTCCTGCCGTCCTACCCAACCCTGACAAATTATCTAGCTTATGTGACTAAACACCCAAAATAATCCACGATGCAATGTGCAACATCACCAAAAGGTCTTAACGGGGATTCAGGGTGCTTTAGAGAGGATTTTTTATTTTTAGGGTTCCGTCACCCACCCTTGGATCCCGACCCAATTTTTGGGAATAACTAAATCAAAATGGTTACACTGCTTACCTTCTGTCCTGCTGTGTTGAGCCTCAGTGGGGTCAGGTAGGGGTCAAAGATCAAGCGACTGGTGTCGATGTCGATGGGCGACTGCTTCTTCCCTATGGCACACAAGTTCCAGGCTGAGTGAACCAGACCCCAGAAAGATGGGACTGGCAGCGGGTGGGGTTAGAGTAAGCAGAAAGATAGGGGGAACAAGAACAAGAGACAGTAGCAGTAATTAGTGTGTGTGCTCTGGTGCTCCAGTTCAAACCACAACAGACTGAGTCATTTAGTTTATCATTACTGGATAGGAGAAAAGGGAGTTTACTGACATTTCAATTTAAACATGGCTTTGTCACAGTTTGGGTTCATGTCCTGTTTTATTTTGTAGTTTTCCGCCTCTTGTGTCCCCTGATTACTTCACTTCCTGCCTTGTCATCCCCTGTGATTGTCGTGTCATGATTGTGTCCAATCGCCTGCACCTCCCTAGTGTATTTAAGCCATGTGTGGCTCTTGTCACTTGTCGCGTCATTGTTAACTGTCTGGAAGTCCACGGCAGAGTGTTTCTGTTTCATGTCTGCGTTTTTCTCCCTTGGTCTTTTGGTTGAATTTTGACTATTAAAGTCTTTTTGTTTTGGAAACTCTGCGTTTGAGTCCTGCATTCCCCGCACCCTCCTGACAGGCTTCCATTACAGTCTCCAGCTATCTGTAACAGTGTTAATTTTGGCAGCTATTTTTGATTTAGTCTTAGTCTATAGACGAAAAATGCATATTAGTTTTAGTCACATTTAGTCATTTTAATCCTTCTTAGTTTTTACTATTTTTTTACTATTTACTCTTACCCAACACCTTGTTTTCAATTGACTCCTTTTTAACTCTTTAACAGATACTTAAAAACATCAAAGTAAAAATGTTTGCAGGGGAAAAACACCCATAGTCGCAACAAGAACAAGTTCAGTATGCATACAATTTTTCGTTATCTTTCATTTTAATATAATAGTAACTCCCATGTGTGCAACATTTTGCAACAATTAAACCTCACATAGAGTTTCAAAGATGGAAAAAACACATTAAAAAACGTGTTAAATCACCCACACTAACAGAAGATCACTAACAATCTTTGGGAAAACCCTTTCAGGAAAAGGAAATATCAGAAGCTTTGATGCACAGTGGAAAATCACCAGGCTCAGACGGGTTCCTCAAAAAGTGGTTTAGAACCTTTAAAAACAAGCTCACTTCTCACCAGATCCTATAATTAAAGCTTTAACACAACTCACCATCTACCCGAAACAAGGTCACTAGACAACATTAGACTTAAAAACAACAAAGTCTCTGAGGAAGTTTCTTACAGGCACATATTGTTTATTAAAGGAGCCATATTATGTCCTTTTACCACAAGTTCGTATGGTTCTTTGTGGTCTGAATAAAATGTCTAAAACCTAATTTACAAAATACCACAAGGATCATTATTAACATGTTAAAATGTTTGCTGTCAAAATGACCCGTTTGAGGTTTTAATGCTAATGAGCCATAAGCTCCCCCCAGTATAGCGTCCAATAAACAATTTTCTTTAGGTTGTTTGCTAAAATATGTTGTCCATGACAGTACTTTCATTTGCTGATGAGCCGGTACTGTGCCGACAGTACTTAAGAAAATACATTGACTACGCAAGTACCTTATTCAAACCCACTTTAACAAACCCAAACTACACCTTTAATGAATGAGACTGTGTTCAAATCTTGGGGAAACGAGCTTGCGTACAAAAGAGGAAGCGAGAGAGAGACAAAAGCATAGGTAGAAGAAGGAGGTTAAAGACTTTGGGATGGGGGGGTCTCAATATCAAAGATGCTTAAAGGAAAACTAGTTTTCAGTTCATGTAAACAGACGACTTCCTTAGCTTAGCTTAGCTTGGCTTAGCTGTCTCAGTTTAGCTCGCAGGCTGAATCCTCTGCAGAGAGTTAAGCGCCGCCGGTTGAAGACGTGCTTGACGATGAAGAGCTCAGGCCGCTGGATCTGCCTGCTGCTTTTTATAAAATAATAAACTTGTTGTGTAGAGGACTCGACAAATAGAACAAAATGATCGGACATGAGACCCGGTAGAAAAGTAATGCGTGTTCTTTTGATGGACGTTGCGTGACAAACACATCTTGAGAAGGCAACGCCATCGTTTCTCCTCTCGGCCGCCGTGCGCTCTAAGCAACATAGAACACACGCGACAGGTGAAGGCTTTAGTTAAGACGGGAGGAGACCGGTTCAGTGCAAGGCGAGGACGTGGCGGCACAGAGCAGGTGAAGGAAAACCCGGAGGACAGACGCTAAAGAGAAAAACTGGTGAACACAAATGAAGAGGAGACAAAGTAAAAGAAAAGACTGTTCAATGAAAAGTGGAGGTCCAGTCGAGAACGGCTGGTTTAGGATCCAGCCAAGAAAATGATGTCTTGCAAGACATTGAGCCACGTGCCGTTCGCTACGTCCTGCTTCATTAACAGCTTGCTTCTTGAGTATGTCGGTGGTGATAAACTTATAAAATGCATAATTGAACTCTTTAGCAATGGACAGTAAACATGGTCGGTAAGGCCTGTAATCAGTTATCCATGTTCAGTTACCCACTGGCAGTCGATTGTTCACCAAGGCTATTATTTTTGTTTTCTTCCAGCGTCAGGGCCATGTGATAGGGGCGTGACTAATCAGGAAAGCCAGAGAAATGCATTTTAAAAATGAAACCGACTTGTATGGATGTAGCTTGATTTTCATGGCTCAACAGCTCTAACTGAGACTCTTTAAAACAGGGGTCTTCAACATGGACCCCAAACTGATGGCCAGATGAGCAGGGAGCCCCTATTCTACGGAGTTCGGTCCGCCATCTTTTATTTTTGAGCATGGCTCTTTAGACGTGAGCCTGTGATGTCGTATCAGCATGAGAGGAGCTGTGAGTGAACCGGTGTCCAGCTGGAGAGCTGCTGTGGGACTGAAGGACAACGTTTGCTACAACATGTTGGATTCATGTTAATGTGTATTCAAAGACAATGAAGACATTTAAATTTGTGGATAAAATTGGTTGAAAAAAAAAAAAAAGTTCTTATGAAACAAAGATTTTGCGGACCCTCTGTGAAAGACCTCTGCGTTAAACATTTTCTATAGCTCGTATCTTCTAACACTCTAAAAACTGTGAGACGGATAAAAGCACGATTTTCCCTTATCGTTTCCACCACACCTTGTTCTCAGTCGTGTTTATTCCAGAGGGTTACTAATGTTCAGCATGAACATGACCCAGCATTTTAAAAGGTCTGTTATGATGAAGAGAGATAGGTGCGGCAGATTGCCATGTGAGAGTGAATGAGCAGACAAGGTGGTGTGAGTGAGGGAAACTGACATTTAACATTTCTCCTGGGATCTGTACTTTGCAATTAGGCTGAAACGTGTTGTTAATGTTGTTATATGATCTTTTAAGGACGAATAACCATGAAGGGTTTAGGATAGGAAAGAGGGGACACATAAATCTAAAGAGCCTATGTTGGAACATTGTAAGTACAACCAAAGACTTTTTGATAACATAATCATCCATATTATGTAGTACATATAAAATAGATGCTCTGTAGCTTAACCCAGGTATTAACATTGATTCTGTACACATGGCATCCATTGCAGTCTGTCCATCCGTCCATCTGACGTTCTTCCCTTTTTGCCCCATGGAAGGATTGTTTCCTGTGCCGATGTCAGGGTTTCGGGACAGAGGATGTCGCATGTGTACAGACATTTTGGGCTATACAAAATAAAATGAATTGAATTAAAAAGAAATCTGCATCTTCAAAGAAGTAGAATTTTCATAATATGTCCCCTTTAAGAAAATAGTTTCAGATTGATGGTTAATATTAGTACACTTCATCAAGTTATTTCAGACAATAAACTGTTGTTAGATAAATCACATGTGTAGGGTAATTTGAGAAAAAACGAGGAACCTTTCTGTCTGAGTTCTATTTGATACATTTACAACTGGTGATTCAACTTGGAAAATAAATAATTAAGGTTAATAAATGTCATGTCAAATATCATGTTCAGTTGACAGTTCTCAGACGGAAAGGTTCCTCATGGCGCCGGCGGGCAACGTGCAGGAGGCACAGCGGACACTGCCGACCAGATGCGCCGACCACAACCTGGAGCTCAACGCTCTGAAGACAGTGGAGATGGTTGTGGACTTCAGGAGGAACAGAGCCCCACCCTCCCCCGTCACCCTGTGGGACTCCTTCCGTTTCCTGGGCTCCATCATCACCCAGGACCTCAAGTCCTAAAATTGACACGTTTAAAATGACTGAAAAAGGTTGTTCTCTCATGCTGAAATATATCATTCCTAAATAAAGACGATTACTTTCGCTATCTGCATTATATACGTTTTTGGGCTTTTGAGGCTTTTACTGAAAAAGAAGAACAGCAGGTTCCATTTCAGGGGCCGGTTCAGCAATGAAACCAAAAAACCTCCAACCTAAAAAGATCCAAAATTATAAAGAGCGACCCGCTCTTAATTAAATTGACATTATTTTATTTTTTTGTCATGTAAGATGTTTTGTTGCATTTTTTGTTCAGTGAAACTGAAAAAAATCATTCAAAAAAGAATAGTGTGGGTTTTCTTGTGGAAAGTCAGCCGATTCTGTGTATCTCTCATAATGACTAACTATCCTCACATCATTAACATTAACAACAACGAGCATGCACCCGTCCATTAGAGCCGCCCAGGGTGGCCAGGCTAGATCACAACACATTGCAGGTATGTCTTAATGGTTCAGTTGGCCTTCTAGTATATATAATAATATACTAGGGAGACTCGCAGAGAATCGACCGAGTAAGAACTCTGTTCCTTTTATCCCCCCTCCCCAACTATTCATTAGCTTTATTGGTCTTATTGTTGTGAGTGATTGTAAAATGTATTTGTTGGTCAGACATGGAAGGTGTGAATGATATCAGTAGATTATTGAGATGGATTATCATGTCATTTCTCTACTATGGGTCATCTCTCTTAACCTGTTAACTCTCCCACTACTTTATTCCCATTTAAATGTGTTCGTCTTCTCTACGCCGTTCCTTCTCCTCTTACATAATGTAGCTTCTTCTATCCTCCATCCTCCTTTCCCCCTTTCCATCTCTCTTGTGGGCCCGTGGCGAGCTTTGTAAAGGTG